AGAACTGAAACATACTATTCTAAAAGCCTCAATAAAACAAAATAATTTTATATAAAATACATTAAAAACAAGAACAAGGGTAAAGGAGAAAAGAATGAAAATGATACATACTAGTTTCAAATGAGTGAAAAGCACTAAAATACTACAACTTTTTAACTTCTTTAATTACTCACCTATAACACAGGATGCTTAGCAAGACATTCATGGACATAATTTGTAACCATCCACACATGCTGTTAAAAAAGGATGACAAAGCTGCAACAGAGGGACAAAGACAGAAAGCCAATGTTCAGCAATCAAATACACAGGGAAATCAATCCTCAACAAAAGGAATGGGAAATATCTTGCTCGAAACATATTTTAACCCTTTCTTTTATAATTGTTACAGATAAGCAATAGCTAGTGTGTGTGTGTGTGTGTGTGTGTGTGTGTGTGTGTGTGTGTGTGTGTGTGTGTGTGTGTGTGTGTGTGTGTGTGTGTGTGTGTGGTGTGTGTGTGTGTGTGTGTGTGTGTGGCGTGTGGCGTGTGGCGTGTGGCGTGTGGCGTGTGGCGTGTCGTGTGTGGCGTGTGGTATATGTGGTATGTGTGGTGGGGGTGGGTATGGGTGTGTGTGTGTAGGGTGTGGGTGTGGGTGTGTGTGTGTAGGGTGTGGGTGTGGGTGTGTGTGTAGGGTGTGGGTGTGTAGGGTGTGGGTGTGTAAGGTGTGGGTGTGCAGGGTGTGGGTGTGTAGGGTGTAGGTGTGGGGGTGTAGGTGTGGGTGTGTAGGGTGTGGGTGTAGGGTGTGGGTGTGGGTGTGTGTGTGGGGGGTGGGGGTGGGGTATGTATGTGGAGGAGAGAGAGAGAGAGAGAGAGAGAGAGAGAGAGTGTGTGTGTGTGTGTGTGTGTGTGTGTGTGTGTGTGTGTGTGTGTGTGTGTGTGTGTGTGTGTGTGTGTGTGGGTTTGGGTGGGTTTGGGTGGGTGGGTGGGTGGGTGCGTGGGTGCGTGCGTGCGTGCGTGCGTGCGTGCGGGGTGGTGTGGGGTCGGTCGGTGCAGGGTGTGTGTGTGTGTGTGTGTGTGTGTGTGTGTGTGTGTGTGTGTGTGTGTGTGTGTGTGTGTGTGTGTGTGTGTGTGTGTGTGTGTGTGTGGCGTGTGGCGTGTGGAGTGTGGCGTGTGGCGTGTGGTGTGGTGTGTGGTGTGGTGTGTGGTATATGTGGTATGTGTGGTATGTGTGGTGGGGGTGGGTATGGGTGTGTGTGTGTGTAGGGTGTGGGTGTGGGTGTGTGTGTGTAGGGTGTGGGTGTGGGTGTGTGTGTAGGGTGTGGGTGTGTAGGGTGTGGGTGTGTAGGGTGTGGGTGTGTAGGGTGTGGGTGTGTAGGGTGTGGGTGTGTAGGGTGTAGGTGTGGGGGTGTAGGGTGTAGGTGTGGGGGTGTAGGTGTGGGTGTGTAGGGTGTGGGTGTGTAGGGTGTGGGTGTAGGGTGTGGGTGTGTAGGGTGTGGGTGTGGGTGTGGGTGTGGGGTGTGGGGGTGTGGGTGGGTGTGGGGGGTGGGGGTGGGGTATGTATGTGGAGAGAGAGAGAGAGTGTGTGTGTGTGTGTGTGTGTGTGTGTGTGTGTGTGTGTGTGTGTGTGTGTGTGTGTGTGTGTGTGTGTGTGTGTGTGTGTGTGTGTGGGTTTGGGTGGGTTTGGGTGGGTTTGGATGGGTGGGTGGGTGGGTGGGTGCGTGCGTGTGTGTGTGTAGGGGGGGTGTGGGGGGTGCATGTCTGCACGTGTGCATGTGTGGGTCTGGTACTCTTCTAGCCATAGTTTGCAGAAGGTACATTCCACACACATTTACTGGTGAATAATGCATGATTACCTTCCTAAATGCCCACTGATTTTAATCTTCCTCCAAGTGTTTTATGCACCTTTGGCAAGTCATTCTCAACACTCCAGCCCTTAGCTAAATTATTTTCATGACAAGGTTACATCATTTGGATTTAATGCTGTTAAGGAATTGTCTTTTTTCTATTATTTTCTTTTGCCAGGCCAAAGGCCCATAAAAGTTACCATTTACAGGCACAGGCAGCAAGTCTGAACAGATGCTTAAAAGGGAAGCATGCCAAAGGCAGAGAATTGGTAATGTACACAAAGACAAATTGTTTGAACTGTAAAGAAACAATTGTTTGAAATATAAAGAAATAAAGAAAAAAAAAGAAAACAGGAGCTCTTGAAGCTATACATTTGGGGTCCCATGGTTGCAAGACTAGTAATGCAGCCTTTTTGGATAGGTTACACACAATGAGACCAGAATTGATCTTTGTGCTTGCAACCCAGTTTAATCCCAGTGCTTACACATGAGAAAGAACTAAACAACTAAACTAGCTTTCATCATTTCTTTACACATATTCATTTTTTACTAATTCAGTGCAACAACACTTTCTCCTTCCTTTCTTTCCTTTGAGAGGTGTTCCAGTTGTTGCATGACAAGGATATCTCACAGAAAATACATTCAGTAATGAATTCAGACTATACATTAAAAACAATTCCCAATGAAAATCCAGTAAAAAACAGTAATTACCATTTGCCAAGCTCAGCTAAACATCATAAACAAATAGTCTACTAGTAAAACACAGTAATACATACCTCCTTTAAGTCACCAACATTCTTTACAGAGTTGGGAACCTGATGCCAGAAGTCATGAGGCACTTCAAGAGACCGCAAGATTTCTTCAAATTCAACTTTTATTCTAAAGCCTGGCATGTATCCATTCTTCTTGGGGTTGAAAACTTTTGCAGCAATTTTTCCTTCTAGACCTCTCTTGCATGCCAATCTAAACAAGGTTTTGTTACATACCAATTTGCCTCGACTCTGAGAAAGCCTTCCTTCATGACAACTTTCATCTCTTAGAAACAGGGCTTCTCCTGTGACAAATTTGAGGAATGAGTCACCTAATAATTCAAGTCTCTCTAAGTTGAAGTCTTTATCTTCACTGGCTTCTTTAAGTGTGAATGCATGTAGCATATTGAATGGATGAATGTATTCTTGCTTCTTCCTCTCTAAGAATATTGGCACAGCATTTTCTGAGGAGCCTAGTAGTTCATGAATAAATTTTCTAGTCCAAGAGAAATCAAGAACTTTATTCTTTACAGCAGGTGATGTGATCTTTGTTTCCGTTATAAATTCATGCATCAAATTAAAGCTGTTCAGACGATGGAAGATGGATGGCATGCACATAATCTGCCACCATAATGATGCTCTTAAAGGAATTAAACCACAGAATTCTGGTACAAAGTGTGGCACTAAATTCCCTTTCTTTTCTTTTGTCTTCTTTGGAATTTTCTTCAGATAATTCAGTTCCTTTGGTATGTGTTTTGCTTCTAATAAGGGCTGATTCTTATCCTTGATTTCAAGTCCATACCTTTCCAGGAAGTATTTTTCATAGGACTCATATCCCTTTTTACCCTGAGGAAATGTATTACAGGGATTTAATTCATCAAAAATCTGTGACACATAATACATTTGGTCAGAGGGTATCCCATAAAGTGGATAAATTAGTGCATCTTCATATTTTGACCTTACAAATTTGGTACTTTGATTGTGGGACCTCATCATCACTGGTTTGATTGAGTCCAAGGAATACATCTCATTCAATATGTCCAAGTCAATGATTTCTGAAAAATCAAGTGGTACAACAAACGCATCCCATTTAGATTCTTCAGGGTCAAAGTTTATTAAATTTTCCTTCAACTCTATGAGACTTTCAAAGACAAGCCTATGAAACTTCTTAATTTTGTCAAATAAACTAGTGTCTAAGTCTGTCAGTGGACCAACTTCCTTAACATTTACCATCACATCCCCCCATTTTGAGAAGAACAATGGAAAGGGGCTGCATACTAAACCTTCTTTGCAGATGAAACCAATCTTATTAATACATGCAGAAGAATCAATGGTTACACTCTGATCTGTCTGACCAAAAGGTTTAATGTCAATAGAATAGAGACAGTATGTTCTTCCATGCACATTTGAAAATGGGTAACACAAATCCTTGGCATAAACCCGCTTTCTCTTCTTGGTGCCAGACTCTGATGTGCCTTCTGGAACAGGTTCTTCAGGTGGGAGGTCAACCAATCCTTCTACTAAGCTATCGTCATTGCTTTCCTTTGGTCGTAAGTTGGAATCTAACTCTCCCATCTCATGCAATTTGATACAAAGTTGCAGGGCAGCAGATTTCTTTGCTAGATCTTTGTTTGCCCATCCACTACCATATACCATGTCCTTCAGAGGTGCCATGATTGGAAGTCTGATCCCAACAGTTACAATCCCTTCTTTGACCTCTTCAACTATCTCTGGTAAATTATCTGTGAACTTATCAGAGGGCAATTTTCCACAATACAAATTAACAAGTTGTATGGCTGAGTTGCTTGTAATCTTTGGTCCTACATGTCCATATGGTTCATAGGGCTTTATGTATTCATCTTCTGCAAAATGCTTTCTTGTCACCTCTGCTGTTGGCAAATTTCGACCATGGCACAAGTATTGAAGTGAGGCCTCAATTTCCCTGTATACTCCAATGCATTCCAGCATTTCACTGACTCTTGCTTCTTCTACCATCAACAGATAAACAGATGGTTTAGCACGAGCCCTCCCCCTGGATTGCACATATGCACGATAATTCTGTGGGGTGTCAAAGCGAACCACCACATTGCACTTCCTAATATCAACTCCTTCTTCTAAAACACTTGTTGATATCAAAAAGTTAGTTTCCCCGTTTCTGAACTTTTCTAGTGTTTCCTTCTGTTTACGGAGTTCCAATTCTGCAAGACGTATATCGATGCCTGGACGTGAATTGCATCCTACAACATAGGAGGGTCTGACAAAACTGAATACTGGGTTCTGTTGTGCAATCTCTAAAAGGAGGTCATAGAGAATTTTGGCAGTGTTTCTTCTCTCCACAAAAATCAAGCCAAATACTTCTTTATTGCACTTACTAAAGATTTCTAGGAGCCTTTTCACTTTGAATGTGATATGCTCCAGAGGATTGGCC